TTTTTTTTTTTTTTTTTTTTTTTTTCCTTCTTTTTTTCTGTGCTTAGTGAAAGGCAAAATATACTTGTACAATGTCTTTGAAGAACCCCTCCCTCACTGTTGTGTTTCTGTTGCAGGCTTCTGGTACAGTCCAGAGTGTGACTTTGTGCGACACTGCATAGCCAAGTCCCAGGAGAACGTTGAGGGAAAGGTCCAACTGTCTGTCTTCAAGGGTCAGGTTTACATCCTGGGACGAGAGTCACCCAAGTCGCTGTACAATGAGGAGCTGGTCAGGTAAAACCCAGCATGTGGTTAGAAAACAGCTTTAATAAAAGCATTCATTTATCCTAACCTGACAGATGGGCGTGGCCTTTCTGGGCACAGTGTGGCTTTTCCACATGTTCACCACTCAAGTTCTCTGTTGACCCCCACATCAGCATGCTAAACTGACCCTGCTTTACAAAGACATCAGAGAAATGTTGTGGTCATAGCCTGCAGGGCAGCCCCCTCTTCCAACCCCTTGGTTGCCCCCCCACCATGCCCTCTTAGCTGTGGTAACAGTGGGTTTGTTCAAGCGACTGACCCTTGATGCCCTCTGGGCAAGCTCAGCACTGACCAAAGGAAAACCTCTCCATATGGCTCTCCATCTCCACTTAAGTCACACACACTTCATTTGTACCCTAGAGTCAGAGAGCTAATGGTGTTTTCAGCGAGAGGAGAGAGGTTGTTTCACTCGGCTGTTAGGGGAAAAGTAGCTGAGTGTCATGGTAGTTAAGCAGGTCAGATAGAGGGGGACACAAATATGGCTCCCACAGTGACAAGCACAGCTCTATAAACTGAAAGAAAAGACAAGTAATTTATCATTTATCGAGAGTTAGTCATTTACGTGAAAGGGACAGATAAAACGGAGACTGTACTCCACTCTTTCAATTGGTTGCTCTGTTCAGGAAAACGTCTAAGTTGAGTCACTCTTTAAATAAAACGATCAGTCTTTATTTGACTCTGATTTATACAACTGAGTCAGAGTTGTTCCCTAGAATAATAATAACACCACAAGGCTCTTTCAGATCAACATGGATCCAAATTTAGCTGATTCTAAATTGTGATCAAGTTGGATCACAATTTAGATACAGAATATATATATACAAGGATCCAAATCCAGTTACTTACGTTTAAATTCACTCTAAAAAATTATATAATAAAGTCAAACACAATTGATCATTGAACGACATTTGGTAAAATTTAAAACCATCTGGTTGCATTAAGTCACTGATTTTGCAATAACTCCTCATTCTAAGTAAGCAGGTGGAGACAGAGGAGAGTTAGACTCCTGTTTATTAGGAATAAAGCTTGATTAGCAAAATAAGTTCTGTTTAAATTTAAGTGGAAGAACATCTTCATTAATAGTTTTGTCCTGAAATACACATAGCTTGACACAAATTAATGCAGATATAAGTTATATATCTATGGCCACAAATAAAATGTTCATTTTGGGCTCTAAACTTTACTGCTACCTTTCTTTTAGCCACCAATAAGTCTTTAGTATAATCTCTCTTTGATGTCTGACTACTTTTCTTGTCCTTAAAATTGGTCCATTCCATGGCGGTGACTCAGCTTACAAACATAGTTCAAAAATATTTAATAGGGTTTTAGTTGAAAAAATGTCACTTTTTCAATTTAAAAGAGTTTTGCGACAGTGTGTTTGCGATAGTCCTATTTTAACTCTAAATATGATACATATATGCTTCTATAAGCAGTTGATTTGAGGCAAAGTTGAAGGGATTAGAGTCGGATTTTCAAAGATTATAAATAAGGAGCGCTTAAATGAACTGGCAAAGTTTTGATTGTGCAATAAATGGGTGTGTATCGGGCGTGTCCACTGAGATTGAATGTTAAGCGGTGACTTTCGTTCAGCGAAAAATTGAGCAGAATGTTTTGTTCTACCAACAGTGTGAGGCCATAAAATAAAGATTGTTTCTAAGCCATGCGGTTGGAGGTTATAAAAATCATTATTATTTAAACAATTTGGTAATATTTAATAATATTTATAGTATACTTCTCATAAGTAGCCCATCTCATAGAGCAACAATCCAAAGTAAAAAAATAAAATGATGAAAACAACAAAGTTAAATTTAAAAGATAAAATATCAGAAAACATGAAAAAAGTTGTCTTTGTATGCTTGGTTTGCATATGAATGTACACCTGACCCTCTAAAGGGCTAAAGCGAGATGCAAAAAATTGTGGCCAAAGTTGAGTTTGATATTTGAAAATCACCTGTAATAATAACTATTAATATTTGCATTTCCTTCACCCATAATTTTGCATGGTGTAGTTATTAGATGGTGCTATGCACATGCAAGCAAGCTTGTGAAAATCAGGCTAATGGTGTTAATCCCTCTCGATCATTATTAAATCCACTTTGTGAGATGCACCTGTACTACATATAGAGAAATAGGCCAATAACATCCAGCTGCCATGTTTTTTGCTTTGTTTAACGTCCTGGAGGCTTTGTGCTAATATACAACCCTGTAATAGGAAAGCTAAAAGAAAGCCTAAAATTAAAAAGACTTAAAGCTTAACATTCACACTCCATGGTGCACCATCCAGATTTTTATTTTATTTTATTTTTTTGAAAGTGCATGAAATGTGCAAATCCCTGCAGTGGAAAAAAAAAATCTTAATTCATCAAACTTAAAATTCAGATTTTTGTAACAATTTACTGGCTTTATGTTTCAAATACAGTTTCATTTGAAAATCATTTGAAATTAAGTTCAGTGGAAAGAAAACAAGAAATCTGCTCTTTGTCAATAACAAATGCTTGTACCTGGCATTGACTCACCTGAAAGCTCAGCACACTTTCACAAATCATATAAACACACACACACACTCAGAGAGAGACCAGATTAGGCATGAAACCCCCACTGACATCCTGTTGGCTCTCCACAGGCAACAGTAAACGGCGTCATTAACGCAGTGGTAATACAGCCCGTCACCGCACCCATCTGAGACAGAAATGTCACCCTCCTCGCTTCTTACCGGCTTTATTCTCAATTAGACTGCAGGGTTTCTTAAAGGAAAACACAATCACATGCTTACACGCATACACACTCAGACACACTCACAAAGTGGCGTATTCTTTGTAGCCACTCGCTCATAATGGTCCTCAGGTGCCGGGTAGGGAGCCTTGTATTGAGAGTTGATGATTTAGTTGTCGTCCTTTCTTTTTATAATGTTTATCCTATCATTTGTTGGCAATTTCCTCTTTTGCTAAGTGCTTTAAAGAATGAGTGCAAGCTGTACTCCGGGACGTGGGGGTGTCTCAGGGAGGAGAGGAGTCGGTAAGAGAGTGTATTAAACACTGCAGGTAGAAACTGCTGTAATTACACGGCACTCTGTGCGAGACGCTTGGTGAGGTGTCTATACAAAGAGCAGTCTTAACATTAGACCCCTGCATAAGTTATAGATTCACTACTTTTTTCTTTTTTTTTAAGAAAGAAGATAAACATCAGATTAGAAAATCAGATCCAGTGTTGGCTCACAGTTGAGACGATGGGATTTTAAAAGATTCTTTTTAACAGTTATGGATATTTTTATTCTATTAAATGCTTGTGTACATGAACATGTTTTGATTGCGCTGTATCGATTCTCCATCATTCAGGACAAACAGTGACAAACAGGTGCATTCAAAGGAAAATCAATGGGAACCTTTTTTTCTCTCCCTCTGTTAGGAAGAGCTCATCTGTGATGCAGCCAAAGATGCTTTTTATTTCTGCTTCGCTTTTAAAGCTCTTTTGCGAGTAAAATCTGTTGAAAATAAATTATGTATTTGCATTAAAGCCAGCTTGTGTCACATTACATTGTTGGCACATTCAAGACCTTGCAGTCTGATTTTGTTTGCATATAAAAGGGAGAAATATTTTCCCCTGCTGATACCGCTAACGGTGCTTTACCTCCCCAAATCCAACAGGTTATTTGACTAAACTAAAGCTCACTCAATTTAGATGAGACATGTCTTCAAAGTCGGGATGTGCAACAATTTGATATTTTCCATTTCTTTAAAGTTTAATTTTCTTGAAAGTTAAGGTAGTTAGTTAATTTTTTTATATTATGCATGAATACTTTGATTAAGTTTCAGAGAGAAACAACAGAATGTTCATTCAAATCATTTAGGTTTCATGCTTTTGGGTGTTTCAATGTTTTTTTTTTTTATGTTTACTATTCTTATTGTTATTTATCCTATTTGTGTAAAGTTTACGTATAATCAGTAACTTTCAATGGAAGAATTAAAATTGTATAAACTATGTGTATAAACTATGAACATTTTCTCATATTTTTCTCCTTTCTTTCCTCTTTAGCATGGATGTACAGGGAGACTATGACCCTTGTGATGCCTCTGGATTCATACGGATTAATGCCGTCAGGTTAGCATTGCTTCAAACCAAAGGAACTTCTAATAAATGTTTTTATAATGAAAGTTGCTTATCTCATTTTCTTCCTAGGTTAAGAGAGCATCATCGTTTGCAGGGTTTCTCTGGAACCAAACAGTAACTGTTCTCACTGTGTCTTAAACTCTACTAGGTCTAGACTTCATTCCTCCAACGTAAACCTGTTGCCTTATTCTCTTGTGTAGTTTTATCAGGGTAAAAATACAATAACCTCCTTCTGTCTAAACTGTTTCTCACACCGTGAAGAGTTAAAAAAACAGAATTGGATCAATACTTACATGTATACTAAACATCAGTGGTTGATAAAAGTTTCTTGGTGTTAGTTACTGAATTTGTTTCCTTCTTCAGCGGTGTCAAGTAATGTATTCATTGCTATATATAATTATTAGTTTGAACTATACTATAAAATAATGAAAAATTAAAATACTTTGATTGACTTAGTTGTATAAATGTCCCCATTAAAACAATTGGGCAGTTATTCTCCTGCAGGCAAACAAATCACACATTATAGCCATCAGCAAACAGTTGGTACAGATTTTAGTCTCTTTGCCATAAATGCAAGTGCTCTATTAAACTGCTTGGTTATACCTTCTCTGTTAGCCTACTGGATTCATTGTAAACAAACTTTTGTGGAATCAAATGTTTTATTTTTCTGTTGGTGTCAGGAGTCTTTTCATAAGAGAATCCTGGAGGATTTTGAGCTAAACTGGAAGAAATTAGAGGTTTTCTACCATCTTTATTTTTATTTTCTCTTCAGCAGTACAACAAAACAAAACTATTATTGACAGCTGATCCTCTGTGTTAAAGCCTCATCTTTTATCTTTCAACCTTAGTCGTTTTTATTTTCTTACCTTAAACTGAAAATTGAATCCTCTCTTTTGTGGCTGTTAAATGTCTTTCCAGAGCTCATCTGGTTTGTTTGTGTAGGTGGCTCAAATCTATTGGTGCTTGTGTTTGTTCAATTTGTAGGAGGAGCTTGTATCTTATTCGCTATCATTAGACTTGCTCTCTTGCAGTTTCTCATGATCGAGCGGTTTCTAGCTTTTTTTTTTAAATAATAAACTTGATTTGATTCCATATGGTACCTAAAAAGGAGCTAATTTTCTTTCTTGGGAAGTTAAAGGTTTTGATCATACAGTTGGTCGGTTTTGAAAAGAACAGAGACTAACATTAGCTTGTTAATGCCACCAAAAAGTGTGCAATCAAAGTTAAAAGCAGATAAATGGTAGCTGTGTGTACATGTTTCAATCCTTTTGCTTGCATTTAAATGTAAGGGGATAACTGATCCAAAATAAAGTGTGTAACATGCCTCCTGGTATCGCTGCACGCCTGTTTAACTCTTGTATTTCATATTCTCAAGGACGCCGCATCATGTTAACGATATGCAGATGGAGGTGGGCAAAGACTGGAGTAAATACTCATGGATCATAGAAGATAGCTACTGGAGCAGAAGTGATGAGGCTGTTCCTGAGTACAGACAACACAAGTCAAATGGAAGGAAAATCATTTTGTTCACATATGAATATTTTACTTCTCGGCTTTGGGTCCCTTCAGTCAGAGAAGAAAGGTACGCCTCCCAGAGAGCTCAAGTACAAGATATAGGGAGGCTATACCTTTATGGGTTTGGAGAGATTACAGTGCTTGCAAAAGTGTTTACACTCAGATCTTGTCACAAAACTACTAAAAATTATGTGTTTTTTCATGATTTTCCTGGTGATATGTGTTTTTAGAAGCAAAAAACTCAAAAGTGTAGAGTGCAGCTGTCACTTTAAATTAAATTCTGTTCAATTATTTGCCTTCAGAAGTCATTAAATTAGAAAAAGGGCCCATATATAGCTTAAAATTAGTATAAACACAGTCTATGAATGAATAAATGAATAGGAAATTTATTTCAGACAATTTTAACAAACAATAAACAGTCTATGAAACATTAAATCACAGATGCAGCAAAGAGGATCAATGATAACTGAAAATGCTGCAGAGATCAACAGTGGAGGGATCTGTTGTGTTTTCTTTATAGGTACAGTGGAGGAATTTCAAAAAAGTTTTAAAAGAGCCGCCCTCTCCACTTTAAAAAAAAAAATGCACATGCACAACCCTCCACCTGCTCCCGAGAGGGAACATCTAATTGGAAAAGCATGCGAGAGCATGCGCAAGCCTATTTCTCCCCGTGCACGCTCTTTTTAAAAGTTGCTGTTTGCATCACTCATACAAGCTTACTTTCCAATAGAAGTTTTACATTTTTCCACTATGTCAGACTCACCACTGGGGACGAGCACATAGGATGGCCTTATGTAAACATATCACCAGAATGATTGACAATTAGGAGGACCACATATATTGATGATCCACCTGGAAAAAGAACATCCTCCACTATACCTTTAAATTTAGCCTTTATGGAAAAGGGACAAAAAGATCTCTGCTGTTGCAGTTGACCACAAACAATGATGGCGACACGGAAAACACCAAAATGAACTTTTAAGCCAAACATTGTGATGGCATCATGCTCTGGGACTGTTTTCCCCAGCACCATCAGAGATGTTGGTCAGATTGATGTTAGCTGTTTTGTACATCCTGAGGTGGAGGTTTACCTTCGACTCAATGGCGACATTAAACATACATCCAGAGCTAGGGTGGAAGGGTTTAAATGGGTTCTGCAACCTTTCATATCCAAAGAGCCATTTTGCTTCGAATACGACCAAGTCAAAGTTTTTTAGAGCCGCAAAATATAAAAAAAAAAAAAATATATATATATAGATATATAGATAAATATATATATATCTATCTATATATATATATATATATATATATATATATCTATCTATATATATTTATATATATATAGATAGATATATATTAGCTGGTAAAGGAAATTTACGTATTTTTAGCTTTTAAAATAAAATAATAAGAAAGATGGCTCTTAAAACATATTTCTGGTTCTTTTAATATCATTCTTTTCCATCTTATAAAAAACACAAAAGCTTTTAATACTGGTATTTATTACAGTACATTATTTAGCTCTTTATATACATTTTAAGAGCCGCTGGAGAGGATCTGGAGCCGCAGGTTGCAGACCCCTGGTTTAAATTAAAGCATATTCATGTGTTCGAAAGTCCTTGGTAAAGTTTAGACTTGAAACTGATGTTCAAACTGTATATTCAAATGACCATGTTTTAGATTCTTTTTTATAGTTGGGTTAAAACACATCTGTAAATGGACCTAGTTTTCATACACCTCTTGGTGCAGACTTACTGCAGATTTACCGGTACTATAAATCTAAGCTGTACTGTAGCTCTTTGTAATGTAAACCAGAGAGGTTTAGTCATGAAACAAAAGAAGCAAACTTAGGATGTAAGTACATAGTTTTTACTGAATTTTGTGGAAGAAAATTTAGAATTGATGTTTAACAAAATGGCTGATTGTGTAAGTGCCTTCTTTGGCTAAAACAGAAAAGAAATACATGGATATTTAATACGGTTCATAATTCTGGTAAGTGAGGCCAGTCATCTTCCTTCTGAAAGACAAGCTTGTTTTAGTTCCTTACCCTAATAGCTGTAATAATGACTTAGCTTATATTATGCTCAGTGATATTTGAACCCTCACAGCTGCCTCACTGCCACGCCCTCGTCCCCAGCACTGAAAGGTGTCAGTCCCGACTGAAGCCCCTGATCCACTGTGGGCCTCATGATAGAGTCCAGCAGCACACGAGACCCCCTGCCAGGTCTAATGGGCAGTGGGGAACCCTCAGACCCTTTCAGTCCTGCAATGCCCCCTCACCCCCTGTTCAATTACACGGCAGGCATCTCAGTCTTTGCCCAGTAAATTACCAACCGCGCCCCTGCATTTACCATCACGCATGCACTGGCTTCAGGATAATCAGTGTCCAAAATTGCTTTGTTGGAATTGAGGAATGGATGGAGAGGTATTCAGTTTAGTTATTCAAGCCGAAGGGAAGGATGATGGGACGGGAACGGGAGCCCAACACATTTGGTCTGCCATCATGCCTTTTGTGACCCTTTAACTTTTTTTTCTGGTAAAATATGATCCATTGGAATTTCTGGCTTAAATAACAGCAGTTTTGATGACTATGACTTAAGGATAAAGGAAAGCAAATTGGCTCCACCCCCAACTGGAGACAACCAACATTAGAGAAGAATATTGGCCTTTCTCAATCTTATTCATATAACGAAATGTGTTTTTCTGTGTATTGACAGCTATGGGGTGTTTTGTGGCCATTATGGGGTTTTGTTTATATTCCACATCCTGTAGTTTATACTTATTTTTTATTACCATTTTTATTTTTTATCTATCTCGCTGTGAGATACATTGTCCTCTAACTGAGTGTTTGAGAGATTGTCTGTCCTATTTTGTTTCTCTATGAGGTTTTCTTGTTTTGCACATATTTTAGGGTTTACCTCATGGGGTCCTTTCTATTTAGGCTGTAAGCCATTCACTGATTTATAAATAGTGTAATTTCTGTTCAAGACTCCTCCCCCCTACTAATTTCTTTGCATGTGTTCTTCGCTACATGTCCACTTTCTTACTTATTTACCACATCTCGCATTCCACCTCTTACCTGTCTACTCAGCCAGCCAGGTATGAAAACTGTGCGACACCTGACCGAGGGAATTAATCATCCTTGACCCTGGACCAATTACCCCTCATTACCCACTCCATGTCCACCTCTCAGGGGAAAGCTGTGTAACAATGGCGCAACATGAAAGTCGGCAGCAGAACAGGCTGCAGCCCTAATGGACAGTCCTGTGCAACCTCCTCAGGAGGCTAACCTTCAAGTCCTTGTCACTCATCCAATAGTGCAAATACAAAGGAGGTTTTTGTTCAAGATAAGGGTCCGTGATCTCTTGAAATGAAGTGGACAGGGCAGAGCTGCTAACAATGAGGGACAACCATGCTAGATATTGAGGATTCAGATATTTGTGATGGCAAAAGGGGTTCAAATCTGTACAAGAGTTGCTTTCACGTGTGTTAATTAGTTACTTCTAGTAACTTTAATCACAGTTCAAAAGTGCATATAAAATCAAATTGTATACTTGAAAACAAATGCTTTTTGTGTTTTCCAATTTTTGTTGGTAGCTTGTGAACGAAAACAATAAAGTACAAAAATCTTAAACTTGGTATGTTAAATTTGGTACTTTATTGCAATGGAAATGCAAGGATGGGGCAGGGGTGTGTAGTCAGCCAATAACACATCCAATCAGTGAAAAGGGTAGAGTCAAACTGGAGGACTTGCAAACAAAAACTGATAGTCATCATGGCAGCAAATGACATTCAAAGAATAGATACTCAAGAATTTCCAAAACTACAGCCAAGACACTGGAAAGAAACAGATTACAATACGGGATGTATAGCAGCAACATCTGAGCAAGACCAATATTCACCAGGGTGGATACATGCTAAGCAGGGTCATAACTGCTATAGTAACCAGTCAAGACATACATGTTTTTCAACTCAACTAAAAAGAAATAATGAAGCATCTAGTTTTGAAGGTCAAGACTTTTGGAATAATGCCAGCCCTCAAAATCTTGTAATACCACTGCTCCAAGAGCTTCCAGAGCTCCTTCTTAATTAACAATTGAGTCTGCATGCAAAACTGATGTGATCAATAAAATTTGGAACAAAAAAAGTAAATCTGAGTTTAGATTATTGTTGTGGCTTTTCAGTATACTTCTTATATATCTATCTTAAGTCACTTATCCATCAGGGTCAAGGGTCCTTGAGGAATAGGGGTCATGGGTCACCAGTCCATAGAGAAAGAGGTGGATATATACAACCATGCATACACACATCAAGGGATGTGATCAACCTAACAGTCATGTTTTTGGACTGTGGGGGGGAACAGAGTACACGGGGGTAACCAATGCATGCATTGGGGGAAACGTCCAAGCTCTATGCAGTGACTCTAGACCAGGGACTAAAAGTAGGCAACCATACTACACAGTGCGGCACATACAGCTAATTTTTTTATATATCCAGCTTGAAATGGCCTCTACCAGCACATTTCCTGTCTCTGACTTCTGCCAGTTCTTTCGTTTGTACCCTGGGATAAAAATTACAGTATAATCTGCATATGATAAGGTATTACACTGTGTTTAATTATGCTTATAGTGAAGAGTAGTGGACCCAGCACAGGGCCATGTGGGATAATGGGTGGCCAAACAATTTCTTGTTTTCAAATTCTGGTAAAGAGAATGCTTTCTGAGATTTTCTAATTTTAGCACAGTCTGCACACATAATAAAACAGTGATTTGGCTATCAGAAAGCTGTAGTTAACTGTAGTAACTGTAGTTATCAAATGTTTTCTGTTGGGAGAGGAACAAAGTCCTGGCAATCCACCTTTAGCCACTGAACATTCAGTTTAAAAAAAACAAAAAACATGTAACTGTTTCTGAGAATGGTTAGATAACAATCAAAACTAATCGGTGTAGCAAAGGAATAAGTATGCAAACTATCAGCAATTTGAAAAAGAAACACTTTTTTAACAACTTTGACACACTTAACTGAAATTAATGCTAAAATCATTCCTAAAACTGGAAAAATCAAACCTTTGAATGCTCAATCCTTTTCCTACAAAACAACAC